TTCGCCTAATAACCGCGGAGGAGAGGACTGTTCCTAAAAATAACTTTATATAGATATTACCTAATAGAGTTGCAAGAACTTTGTGTGAGAAGCGTTTTCAGTTTAATAGTAGAATGTATGTACTTAATTTATTGCTAATACATATTATTGCCTTTTGATGCCTAAACTGGCTTCGGCTAGGTGCACAGTATTGCAATAAACTCGTTTTTACCTGTCACAGGTGTGTCAATTATATAAGGTACATGAACAGAGAGTAAGCGCATTTGCAACGTTGTGGCAATCAGTGTAAAACCATCGAAGTTGTGCAATTGCGAACAAGCGAACGTTAACATTTTTGTTTTGTTATAGAAACATAACTGTACTCAAAAAGTTTGGTATAACGTTCCTGTAAGGATTTGGTAATCTTTATGAATAGAAAAAATCATCAAGAAAAATGGCATATATTCAGGGTATTAGGTGTCTTCTAATCAATTCAGTACAATACGGGACCTTAAATAACAACATTTTATTATTTATTACAAATTGTGTTTGACACACCTATTATTCTGTCCAGCCGAAAACTTTTATATTTTATGATTTAAGTGAAAGCGAAGATTTTGTTATTTGACTGTCCAGCTGTGTATATAATATATATGGCCAGATTAAAGAGACCAATTGATAAAGACGTCTGTCTGTCTGTCCGTTCATATAAGCACCGAAAACTGTTAATAGGTGGGGAGATCGAACTTGGTATATAGACTTGTCTTATCCACATTAGATAATATAGCTGACATGGGGCCAATAATTGAAAGAATCCATATTAATAATAATGAATAAGAAAATCTTAAACAAACAGTATAGCTTGTTTGTTTGGTATTGGTAAGTTGGTATTTATGAGTTCAAAATAGTGTTCCATGATTCATTCCAGTTTTATTAAAATCGGTACACTGCTTGATATAATATGAACTTAGCTGCCAGATCGGTTCAAAAATCACGTTAAGTAGTACAAATATTTCTTTTTATCAGTATTTTAAACAAATTTGATGCTTATGGGAGATCCATCTATAGTGCCTCATTTTAAAGTAAAGTTTCATCCAAATCTGTACACTATATCATATAGCTGCCATAGGACAGATCGTAGTAGAATATAGAATATAGTAGACTAGTTTATTGCTTATATTTTAAACAAAATCTGGTAATTCTTTGCTACCCATAGTGTCTCACGAAGCTCTAAGGTTTTGTTATAATCGGTGCAGTATATGTACTTGTATAATAATATATGTATAGCTGCCATAGGAATAATTGCTAGTACAAAAGAGAGAGTATTTGAGCTGAAAGACAGTAGAGGGGAAGATTGTGTGTACAGAGTATTCAAGCGTCGGGCTGGCTCGACTTCCACTTTCTACTCGTTTTATTTCGGCTGCACTATTTTAAATGGTGATTGCGTTTTATTTCGCGCTGCATATTATTTAGAATCCATGACAGAGGCCATAATTTTAGGCTAAAAGTGAGGCAAACCCCATTGTAATTAATGGTGAAGTGACGGTTGACGATGGGTCGGGGGACCGGGCGGTATGGGGCGGCAACACGCCCAGTTCTTGTCCTTTGCAGAAACGAGCGCATAAATGCCCGCTTGCCTGTGTACTTAAGGTGTCTAAACTTGACTACCGTGCGGCGTCGTCGTCATCATCATCTGCGGAGACTCACGTTGTCCGCAACCTTGCCCAAGCTTCGAAGTTGAAGCTGAGAGAACGGCCATCGTTCCATTATTTCAGCTGACGGCGATATATTTGCTTAGCAATGCCGCGTCAATAAACGCAATGCCACTTCAGCCACCGGGTGGCGGCGGTGGCTACCTAAGTGAGAAAGACAACCAGCAGTCAGCCAGGGGGGCAGGCAGTCAGACAAACAACCAACATGAGCCACTGCTACTGCAAATGTGCGGTAGCAACTGGGCGCTTTTTGTTTTTGCTGTACCCCCAGACGCAAGAGCAGACGCAAACGCGGACGCAGACTCACACATTTGTGCAACAGGCAACAGGCATCGGGCAACAGGCAGCATGACAAACAGTTGCAGCCAAAGCAAATAATTAGTATAAATCGATTATCTTGCGCTCAGGCTCCAGCGCAAGGCCCGTGCAACAGCAACACCATCGGCTCGGCTACTGTGCAACGGGCATGGCAGCACTTTAAGCAGTGCCCCAACCTCACTCGTCGGCTTTAAGGGCAGGGTGACCATTCACCATCAGGAAAGCAATACCAGACCAGACCATACGAGCCAGCCAAATATCGTCCTAATCCCAAATAACAGTATTTGAAATTATTCGAAAATTCTGTCTTCTGCCTGGCAGCATACCTTGCTTCCCTTTCTAATCAATGATATTTTTCTTAAGTCGAGTCAAATCTGCGTAACATTGAATTTTTATACAAAACTGTTCTTTCCCGATCAAGTCATCTATCTCGAAAAAGTCAATTGTAAACAAATAAATTGCTTATAATATTTTCGATCTAGATATGTATGTAATTCAACTCTGTGAAATATGTCGTTCCTCTTAGTCCTTCTTGGCAAAGCGTATAACCTTCTGTTTGAAAGTGTAATATTAAAGACACCCTTTATTCATATCTCATATACATATGTATGTTTAAAATAAGTAAACTTTTTTGGTAGCCACCACCTTCTTCCGTATTATCAAACTTACTATACGAGTACATAAAAAAATACGTATTTTCTTTGAATAAAAAAGATTAAATGTATGAAGAAATAAAATCAAGAGCAATTTTAGCTTTATACCTCATATATTATTTTGAAGTTTTTAAAATGGCGTCGTATCCACCCAAACGCATATAAAGCTCCAATGTTGAAAGCTTTTCAATCGCACATAAGTCTTCCTCTAGTTTGAAAAGATATATGTTAGGATTACACTGAAATTATTCAGTTATAAGTTAGGGTAGAGGATATATGTACATATATTATACAAAATCAACGTCCAGAATGTTTGATACTTTTCAGGCTTATAACTTTCGAAACAATTTTTAAATTGTAAACAGCTTAAATGGTTTTATATTCGGAAGCCTCCATAAACTGAAAATTTAAATACAATTATTTTGTGTACGCCTTGTATTTTGTTATTTATTTATAGTTAAAAACAACTTTGCTTTACAAAAAATTTAAAGTAAATGTAAAGTAAAACAAACAACATGTACACACTTTTCTGTTTCTGCGAATTCCGGTCACCCTGATGGGCTGGCAATTGGAAACGGGTCCAGATGTTGGCACGTCGCACACGCGCGGAACGTCGCAACGTCGCAGTCGCAGCTGCAGTCATCGTTGGCGTCGACGTCAACTTGCAGTTTGCAGTTCGCAGCTTCAACTGGGCGTGCGCCGCAATGCGCCGCTTGCGTTGGCAGCGCCTACGCGCCCCATCGGCCCACTCGTTGGGGACTGGGGACTGGAGACTGGGATTGGGACTGGGACTGTCGCAAAAAACAAGTTCCCGGCCAACGCGCCATATGTGCAGAACTGTACGCCAAGTATTGCCTGCCCCGGCATATAGTACCTCTGTCCCATACCTTATACCCCGACCCCTCCGCCCATTCCTGCCTTTTGTCTCTTTTGTATTGCAGACGTGTGCTGAGCTCGTGCCAATATCTGCCTGGCACAGCGACTGAGACTCAGACTGAGACTTTAAACTGCAGCTGTGTCTGTCCGTCTGTCTGTGTGTCTGTCTGACTGTCTGACTGTATGTGTGAAAGTGTGTTTGTGTGTGTGTGTGTGTATTTTATAGATTCTTTCTAAGCTAATGAGCCCACAATCCGAACTTAAATTACAACAAACTGCCGCTGCTTATCGCTTTTTGCCAGCTCAGCAACAGCAACAACCAAAGCAAAAGCAACAGCAACAACAAAGAAAGAGAATAAAAAGAACCTCCTCCATTCGCATTTCGACTGTTGCTACTGTCCGACCATAATCTTGATTGACTTACGACTTACGACGACTCGTAATGATGATATTTTTTCATCATCCGTTTGTTTTATCTCAATATTCTTGGTCTTTTGTCCAAGTAGCTGTACATTTCGCCTCTGATTATCGCATGTGTTGAAGAGCTCTCTGGCCAAGACTCGGCACAGCTAGAACTAAAGCTAAGCCGAAAGGTAGAGCTACCTGTACTCCAAAGTACAGAATCAGAGCCATCATTATCTGGCGTGCTTTGGGCTTTTGTCTAGAGAAATGTTGAAAGCATCATTATTATTTTTCTTTCCTTTTCCACAGTGATAATAATTGCGACGACGAGTCAGAACGGTTAGTGCAAGAGGTAGCGTTGTGTTGGGGGGTAAGGGAAGGCAAGTGCTGACCTATAATTACAGCTGTGGAACAATCATGGGAAAAATGTGTGCCTCGGCTGCCTCATACAATGTGAAGTACTCGTACAATAATTTAAGCAATGCGAGGTTTTCTGTTTATCTTGCCGTCTAAAAACACGCACAAAAAACACGCAGCACTCGGCACTCTTCTCCTTTTCTCTGCCCCAGCGCTGTTGCCACAGTTCTGTCAATGCCACCACTCATCGTAATGTCTTTCAGAGGGGGGCCACAGCAATTTGATTTTTTATTATTAGTGCACCTTTCCTTTGGCCAGCAGTGACGCAGCCCTTTTGCCCTCGCTCACCTTTCGAGTGCAACACGTTGGTGCACAGGTGACCCGACGAGGGCAGCAAAGTAAGCCTATATGCTAATTAGAGCGACGGCCTCGGCCTTGTTTTTATGCGCTTTTACCGTGAACTGCGTCGTCCACCGGTCCACCGTCCAGTCCGTCAGTCCGACAGTCGTCTGTGCATTTGCTGGCTCGGTAGCTGCATAAATTTTATGCTCCACGGATAAAAAGAGCATAAAATAACTTAAAGGCGAAGCATGTTTAATTTATGTACGATATGTCTGACTTTCATGAGAAAAATTGTCGAGAAAAACGTTACGGAAATTAGTGTAGCGAGCAGATTTTAACCGCAGGACTCATAGTACTCGCAGATACTACGCTCAAAACAGCACAGGTGCCTTACCGAGCACTCGCACTCGACAAAGCGTGACGGGGCATGCGATTCAAATTTGATGCGATTGCAGGCCAAACTGTATGATGTATGTATGGTAGGTGACCATGGCCGAAAGAAACACCAATATCAGCTCATTGGAGAGTTCAAACAGGCCCAAAGGACGCACGCGAAACTCGTAGATGTTGAGCCGATTCAAGAAAAGCTCCATCTGCAAGCAAACAAAGCAAATAGCACTTTAGTTAAAGAGTGTAAATGTAATATTTAGCTCTGAGCTGAACAAGTTCTGACTTGTATGTTATGTTGCAATAAAAATAAATATAAATATATGGAATATCATATAACTAACTACAAAATATAGTAAAACTAGCCTTGCACAATTTTTCAAAGTAATTTACTATATATAAAGCCAAATTAAATTATATTTCAACGCAAGTTTGTTGAATTACATAATAATTTAAAGATATCTATTATAATTATGGAAGGTGACGAGCCTGATGAAGACCTAATGAAATGCGGTTCTTATGATATCTATTTTCTTAGTAGTACATTTATTTTCTCGAAACTAGAGAACTTGCTTAAGTATTTCGAAAACAAAACGCCTAACTAGGCGTTCTTAACTGCTGTAGGAAAACTCACTTATATAAAGGTAATTACATTTTTATCTGTTATCTTTAAATAATTCTGACGCAACTAATTTAAAAATATCTATCATAATTATGGAAGCTTACGAGTCTGCTGTAGAGCTAATGGAATGCATTTCTTGGCCCACAAGAAAATAAAACGGCGAAGAAATATACATGGCCCAGAATTTATAAATTTGTTAAAACGCATATCGTCAGAAGTGCTATAATAAGCAGAGAAAATTTGTTTTCTTGGTAGTACATTTATTTTCTTAAAACTAGAGAAATTTCATTCTTTCTTATTTCGAAAACAAAACGTCTTTCTTCTTAGCCTGTGCACAGCTGTGTAGGGAATCTTACTTATATAAAATTAATTCGATTTTTATTTTTAAATACACCTAACCATATATAAAATTTCCAATTTTCAAACCGAGTTAAATCAAACCCGTTTAAAAAATACCGTGTAAAAACAGAATTAGGTGTAATTCACAATCCTCCTTATTCCTTCCTGTGCACAAACATTTCCCAGCTTAGTACATTCGGAAAACCAAATAAAAAAAATTAAAAACAATATAGTCGTTATACAATAGAAAATATTCAAATTCTGACGCAAAGAATCTGACGTTCAAATGAGAGAATTGAAATCTGATCGCCTCGCAAATAGCCATTAAGCCAATTTGACATAACTGGAGTTGTTAGAAGCATTGCAATATATGATATAACAAGCCATAGTTTAAAGTGTATTAAAACTAAATTAGATCTAAAAACATTTGAATGATTTTCGATAAAAGAAATTAGTGCGTACCTTCATGTGCCATTCGTTATCTTCGCTAACATAACAGTTCTCCACGCCAATTCTTCTTACCAGCCTTGAACTGCTGACAGCTCCATGGGCTGCGAGTGTTATCAGAGCAGCATCCACAAAGAGCTTAATCACCAGAAACAAGAGTGTAAAACTGCGAAATTTGCTCCGCAGTATGACTTCGTAGGACACCAAGATCATGGTCAAGAAATGAAACAGCATCGACAGGCAGAGCGGGAGCTCATAAAACTTATGGAAGGAGCTACCCAGACGTTGTATCGCATCGTAGATGCCAATGCATTCGTCCAACCGATTACCCACAGATCTCAGACGACGACTACTTGGTCGATTCCCTCCTAAACGTTCCAGAGAGCGCAGTTTGTGGCACAGCTCATGGCGCACATAGCTGTTGATCTCCGAGTAGAGAGCACCCACGCTGAGGTAGCCCACAAAGCCAATATGCATCACTATTAGAGATCCAATAGTAACGTACATGTTGCAGAACGTGCCGAGAAACTCGTGCACAGTATGCGATGCCCACATTAGGGGAAACTGGCACCCAACCTCGTAGCAGATAGAGACCGCTTTCAAAAGCAATAGTACGAACTCTCTGGTGCATCCATAACCATTATACGAGCCACTAGTTTTTGCAGATGTTGCCGTCAATGTGCGGACACGTCGAAAGAGGCGCAGGAAACTATTAACTATTCGCAGCACTCGCTCTCCATACCAGAACTGGAGTAGCAGGATAAAAACGGTGCAAGTCAGACAACCAACAATATGTATGCTGCTGAGCAACTCCAAATAAAAGTCCGACAGATGCATGGAATAGGCATAGTATAGGTAGAGACCGACCAAAACCACTCGAAACAAAATGCAGAAACACTTGAAGCCTTCGCGTTTAGGGGCCAACAATCCACGGTCAGTACGTTGCACCCCAAAATCGATCACGCCAAAGATCCGGCCATAGTGTAAGCCACAACGCAGTATAATCGCGGATAGAGCGGATGCGGTAATACGGCGACTGTACATCGCTCCACATTGAATACGAATATAGTTAATATCGTTAAGTCTCACAATAAATTAGCTGATTGGTTGCCCAAGGTCGCCCGAAACGTAGAATTATTCAAGCAGACACATTCCTGATGTTTATCTTCAGTTCATTTGGTTAATGCTTGGCACAACATTCGGATAAGCCCAAGAGCCCATGTACCTGCAATTACACTAACTTTGGGGGCATGTTCGGGTACTTCAAGTGAAAATATAAACAACTCAATGTAATAAACTGGCTATTGCATTACCTTTCCTTCTTCTTTTTTCGTTCAGGGGGGACCATTGTGAAAGGTCTTGAAGATGTTTGTAGCTTTAAGATTTACGATAACATTAAATGAACGTGTACTTTGACCTGCTCACATCATAACTTATAGAACAGAAGAACGCACGTTATACCAAACCCATTCAGATCACGGCAAATTTTATAAAGGTAGGCCGCACAGCATGACGCATGCTAACTATGCTATATTTAACTAATCTTGACGTGCTATACCATGAAAGCCGATAACAAGTAGAACTTACAGTAGAACAATTGAATGGAAAGAAAAAAAACCAAATACAATACATATTTAAATTGAAATACTTTGATTCTATTGATTTGAATGTTTTGCTTCCGATATTAGAATAATCTCTTTTTGTTTAAATAAATGAAATGTCTGCCTGTACTCGAAGAGTTACAATACCAAGGACTATATGAATGTAACAGACAGAAGAAGGCTTGGCACACCCCATTGTAAAGGTAGCATTGCGAGACGATTTAATACATATAGAAATGCTCGTCCGTCTGTCTGTATGAACACCAAGAACTTTTGAACCGTAACAGCTATGGACAACAAACTTAGTATATATACTACTTGTAGATCTGTCTTATCAACAGAACTGATCCATATAGTATACAAATTTGATATTAATATGTTTTGTATAGTGTGTCTATATATTTTGAAGCTCCGTCTATATCATACAGCTGGCATAGGTGTGATAGACTTTAAAACTTACTTTTGTGCTAAAAACGTTTCTGTTTATTTTGATATCGTAACGAAATATGGTATTTCTGAAAATTTTAAACGATTGAATGATTGGTACAACATCGTTTTTTTACATTTAGGATCTCATAAAGAGCTAAAGGGTGTTAAAACCTTGAGCGAACGTCCATTGTCTGTTCTCACAGCTGCACGGAATATACAAAAAATTCAAAAAAATAAAATAAACTCGTCTTTTCTCGGACCTAGGAGAATCTGTATGCCAACTTTGGTTACTCTAGCTTTTATAGTTTCTGAGATCCTTGCGTTCATCCAGACGAACGGACGGACATGTCTAGATCGATTTCTCTCGTCATGCTGATTCAGAATATATATACTTTATGGGGTCGGAGATGCTTCCTTCTGCATGTTACATACTTTGCACAAACCTAATATACCCTTTTTACCCTACGGGTACAGGGTATAAAAAGGTGGATTTTTGGCCAAAAAAAATCTGTTTCATTTTCCATTCCATTCTTCATTAATCTGGCACATTAAGAAGATGGCATTTAATAGCTGAAATAATCCACTTTGTCCGCCAACCTCTCACTCTATTGGTCCCATCTGTGACTTGTTCACACGCTCACGATCCTGGTGTTGTCTGCCTGGGCCTCTTAAGGCTCTAAGCATCCCAATGTAAATGACGCCCCCATTTTGTGCCGTACGTGATCTTTTGGCATATCTTGTGTACTCTATCTTCGCCTTCGACTTGCTCTTCCTTCCCTCTTCTCCCTCTCTATCCCCAACAGTCTTATTCAAAGAAGTGTGCGCGATTACAGCGCTGAGCGATTTGCGCCCAGACTATAAACCCCAGAATTGAAGTTCTTCTGCCTGGAACTTGTGCGCTGCTATTTGAAAGAATTTTCACGTTCCCCCTACCCTGCCCTCGCACCGATCCGCTCCATTCAAGTAATTACAGCAATAACAACAATGAGCATGCGGGAGACACACGAGCACGTACATTTTCCGGCATTGTACGAAAATTGTGGGAACAATCAACGAAAAAATGTATATATACAGACATACATACATACATACATTCATGAACTGAAGAAGGCAGAGAACGAAAAACACTTTGCATGCCGTTGATTTGCTGCAAATTGATGTAGATGTTGTGTATTTTTTTCTGGTTTCAATAGAGCAAGCGCTCGAGCAGGAGGGGTGGGGAGGCGAGCGGGTCAAGCAACAGCCCAATTCGTCCGGCCACCACAAATGAGGCATGGAATGAAATCATGCGAAACGGTTGGCCAGCAAGCTCGCTGGAAGGGTTCCGGAAAGCCACAACTTGGTCAGCAGATTAGACCAGACTCGCTCGCTCGCTGGCTGGCTGACTGATTGACTTGCTGGCCGCTTGTCTGCCTCACTGCTTGACTGAACGTTGCATTGACCTCACGTTGCAGTTGCAGCAAAATGCACAAAAATGCCAGCATACCTTCACACAATATTGCACGTGCAACAAATGCAATATGTATGTACGTGAAGGCTGCCACAGACACGCAAGTCCAGTCTCTCTAGTCTCGCACAAGTCTCGACGCCGCCCTGTCGTTGCACTCAGAGAAAGCCCCATACAACCGGGAGAGTACAAGCAATTATATGTTTTCAACCAAAGATGATGGAATGTTAACGCAGAGTTCATTAATTGTCAATTGTAAATAAAATATACATTCCTTTATTTTTGAGGCAAAAATCAATTTAATAAAATAACTTTGTTCTTTAGTTAGAAAGTTTATAAGTATATTAAATCTTGTTGCGTTTTCATACACCTTTTCTGTTCCATTCCACACTTTTGCTTAAGACTGAAAAAAGCTTATAAATATTATTTTAATAATTTGTAATACAATTTACATATTCTTCATCATATGGCTTATAACTGCAAAGTTTTTGTTGTAACATTTTTTTTGTTTGTTTGTAATTTATTTTGATTTTTGTCATAGCTGACAATTAAATATATAAATTGTACATACATATACATAGTACCGAGGCCAGCCCCAAATAATTATATATGTATGTATGTATTTATATGTATACTGCGCGAGATTCAATGGATATATAGAAAGCACTGCTCAGTTTGTTAACCGTTTTCAAAATGCACAATTTCTTTAAGTGTACAAACAATCTTATCAAATGGGGTTGATTGATTTCGACTGCGGTTGTGCGTTGAGCGCGCCCCGCGCCATGCTACCTACCACTACACTATCTGATGTTGCCCCGGTCGCGGCCTTGGCTTGTTTTTCACGCTTTTCCATGTCTGGCTGGGAGGCTGGGAGGCCTGCCGACTGGCAATGCACTCTGAAGTGACGAACAAAGACTGTCGCCAGCTTCGTTCTCTTCTTTTTACTGCCCTGACATTAATGATGATTAATGAAAAACGAAACGCAATTAAATTTTGCAGTAATACTTATAAATTATTGTGATTTGTATTTTTTTTAATGTCGTGTTGCTCTTTTCATTTTTTTTTTCGCCAAATGTCTAACCCGTATTCCGTTTTTCTTTTTTACATGAATGTGAAAGCAAGAAATTCACACTCATTTATTCACGCACACAAACACACATGTATGTACCCATAGTTGGGGTTACGTGCATAGTAAAATACTTACATACATACATACACATGTATGTAGTGTATTTACATACAAACATGCATATGTATATTATTTATGGCTTGCCTTTTACCGTTATAGCATTGCGCACGTCGCTGTCGCTGTCGTTGCCCCTGCCTTCTCTGTTACCTGCTCTGCTGCCTCCTCTGCTGCAGTTAGCTACTAAAGTAACAACATCTACAGCTACAACAACAACAACACGTTTGTGCACTTTGAATGTATGTACATACATACATATATGGCATTTGAGTTTGCGAATGTTTGTCAAGTGCTTGTGCGAACGAGATAGAGTGGCAGGCAGAGAGGAGAGAGAGAGAGAGAGAGAGAATGAGGCCAATGCGTTTCAATACACTGTATCTAAAGAGTAAATGAGTATACGAATTTTTAACACCCATGCATAGGTATGTACATATGTATGTACGTGCAAATGTATGTATATTGTATATACATACATAAATATGTACATATGTATTTATGTATATGTACACATATTTTTGTTGAGCATTACTTTGGTAATGCAATTCAAATGGAAGGCCATACGTGAAATCTCTGCCCAAGCTCTGCCAGCAGTTGGCATAGCTGCTGTTTTGTTGAAAATCCGCACTGCCCTCGTATGTATGTATGTATGTAAGCCTCAAATACAAACATATGTACGTATGTACATACAGGGTGCGCCATCTTTTATGTCGGTATGTATGTAAAAATTGAATAACTTTGTCATTAGTGAACCGATTGACTTGAGTAGACCTCTGTTGAATAACTCAGTTCAGGAAATTGTACAGAACCAAATTAAATAAAAATATCTCATACTTGAAAATCGGTTGTTTATTTTCAAAGATAATCAATGTTTACATACCGACATAAAAGATAGCATATGTATGTACATAAATTTGTACATATGTATATGCTATTAAAAAGTTTATGAATAGAATGTATGTACATATGTATGTATGCATTTAAATATGTCTAATATATTAATTATTTTTATGTGTATTTAAAATTGTATAAATTTATTTTAGGAATAAACTTATTTCGTAGTAAAAAATCGTTTTCTAGAGAGTGTACAGTGTTTTTAAGAGTCGCTGTTACGCCGAGCCAGAGCACCTTAAAGTCTGTGCCTGTGGCTGTAGTGTTGCAATTAAAATCTTGAAAATGCATGCTAATAACCGTGCCAGTCGCCGCTGCCGCTACCAGTGCACCTAACGCCTCTCCCCCTGCTCAGCTGGGAGTTAAGTGGGCAAATATGTTATACATGCTTGTTACAAAATGCGAGCATGTAATTTGTTTGCGCATTGCAATTTTATTGTTCATTGTGCGTGTGTATCCATATACATAAACGTACATACATATACATACGCACATACATATGTACATGTGTGGAGCTTTGAGCATAGCAACGAAAAACTAATTCTGTACAGTAACAATAATAGCACTAACATCAAACAGGCATGGCTATGGCGCATGTGTGACGGTTACCCAAGCAAGAGGCAAAGCCAAAGGCGCAACGGCAAAGCATCAATCATCATCAACATTAACATCAACATCGTCATGAGCTCTCTCTTTCTCTCTATCCACTAGATGCTGCCGGAAGTGACAGCCAATCTAATGTTAAGTGCTTTCATTCCAACTAGAACGCATTTTCCTCTCTACATATGTACATACACACATACATACATATATGCGATTGGATATGCGCACAGTGCCAGCACTAGAGAAGGCACATGAAAGGCAGAATAAAGCGAAGCGGCCTCTCTCCACATCGAAACATACATATGTATGTACATAATTGATGGCAATATCTATCGCTTAAGAACCAAGAAATGAGATTACATGTTATTCTAATAAAAAAGAATAAAAATAAATAAATGTTAGAAAAGACAAAGAAGTGTTATTTGTAGCGCTAGGATTCAAGATATATTAATTACCCGAAATTTGTTTATATGATGTAACGATAATGTGTGGACTAAATGTGTACATCTTTTTTGCCTATATACTTACATGTATGTATGTATGTATGTATGCGTGCATGTATATACAAGTATGCCATTCTGAAACCAAGTATGTATATATGTATGTACGAACTGTCTATGGTTGGGTTAGTGCGAAAATACTTGTTTCAAGAACAAAATATGTCTTGTTGAACGCCTGCACCTGCATACATATATGTACATATTAAATAAACTTGGTACGTAGACTCTTTCCATCCTTAGGAAACATAAGCTGCTAACCCCAAGCCGCAGAAATAATTTTCATGTTCCTCTTTTTGATTGGGTACAGGATATTTAACTCTCGGGCTTCCTCGGCTGTAACATTATCTTTTGCTGGAAGTACATGTTATTTAAAAATTGATAAGATTTTCCATTATTGGCAAAACATGAAATCGTTCATTCTACTTTTTCTGATTTACATATGTATCAACTGATATGGCTACACCAAAGACTAATCCCACAGACATACTAATCAATATTATTTCAAGTTCATGATGTCGAATAGCATATCACTAGAAACACTTTAGAATAGTAATACATACTAAAATGTAATAGTACTGAAAATAATAATACTATTTTGGATCTTTTAACTAGGATATTATAATGAATGTTTTGCTTTAATACAACTATGTATGTACATAGTGCCAGATGTATGTATGCAAATATATGAAATAGTTGTAAGTGATCTACCAATTTGGAAAACAATTCAGATTGTAATGAGACACTATAAAATCTCCAAAAAACTTTTGGAAAATGGACTGTTTCACATTTTTCTTAACATTTTATAGCGATTTCGTGCATTTCTTAGAGTTTGGGCAGAAGTTATTTCTTATGCCATAAAATTTCCATATATTGCCATAGTTGTAAGATATACCAAAGCGGTTTGTATTTTTCAGCTCACATCTTAGGTAACTTTCCAAGCAGTCTAGGCAGGTATTCACAGCCGAAGAGGCTTCACCGTATTCAAGGGCTGGTCTGAAATATCCGAAACTTGTTCCAGGTGAGTCATGCAAGAGCTGAGGGTCGCACCTACATTTCCGTTAGCTTAGCGTACGGAGCCCGTTATGTAAATAAAAAGTCATTGGGTTTTTCATTGTATGTACTTGTATTGTAGGATCTGTATTTTTCTTATTATTATTTTTCGTTTTCTTTTCATATCGTATTTACGAACATTTTCAATTATGAATGAACTAAGGAAACATTTTCACAGATTGGTGTTGGTTTTTTGTTTTTGTTTTGTTTGTAAGGATAGTCCAAAAATTACAATTTACAATAAATATATGTATGTAGGTTGGTTTAAGAATTTATTTAGAGCAACAACGTTTTAAATAATTCAATTTCAATTATAATTACATTTACACACAACAAATAATAAAAATGTTCCTTTATAGCTTGAGATCATGACCTAATTTCAATACTTTGGGGAACCACACACACCCACACACACCATAGCCATAATCTGAGACCAATGTTGTATTATCTAGGATGGAGGCATACAGTCGCCCAAACACAAACACATACATATCCACATACATATGTTCGTATTTACATGGACAATAGGGTAGCTCTATCAATGGGTATGTTGTTGCCAATATTATACAAAATACTCGTATATACTTAGTAAGTATAGTAAAAAAAATTCCATATTCCTTCGATACATTGCCAATATTTCTATAAATAATGAGTCATTTAATATTTACATGCACCACTGACTAGTCCATGCATCTACATATATGTATCTGTATGTGTTTGTATGAGGGCGCAGCCCATATGGCCTCCATTTCGGGCGTTATGGCGATGCTGGGGGGTGTCTGTGTCCATTTTCTGTACTTTAGTTATTCGTTTTTGTTTGAAACAAACGACAGTGCTGCATCTCTAGTCTTTCGTTTGCATTTAACTCGGGGTATACATATATATACATATTTTTATATGTCTACTCCTCGTATATATATATATTAATATATATATATATATATATATATTAAAATTAATTTACAAAAAAATAATAAAATTATTTAATTATTGCCACTGTTGCTACTGCTGCTCTTGTTGTTGTTGCTCTCGCTCGGCCCAATTGTTGTTGCTCTCGCTCGGCCCAATTGTTGTTGTACAACAAACACATCACATCAGTCTAATTGGACTTGTCGGTGTTGTTGTTGTTGCTGCTGCTGCTGCTGCACCAGCTCTCCCCATTGCTGCTGTACAACAAACACACCACACCCACATCAGATAAAAAGGACATGTCGGTGTTTTCCTTGTTACTTCTCTCCCCATTGATGTTGTGAAACACGTGAACTGTCGCTTCGGTATCGGTGTTGGTGTTGTTGTTGTTATTGTCATTAAATTTTGGCACATTGGGTAATCCCTCACCTCTTTGAGTGGAAACTGTAAAGCAAACGGAGAGAAAAAAGTTAGAGACGTAATCGTACGACATTTCAAAATCAAATACAAATAAATAAAAAGTGCAAGCGTCGGGGCTTGACATTCAAAACTGCGACTGGAAAAGCGAAAGCTGTAATTTCAAGGCGTTTGCCGTAGAACAGCAATCAAGCAAGTTGCATAAATATGTGCACACTAATGTACTCATGTATAAATACAAGGTGTTCTTTAGAGCTGCTTCCGATATCTGTGATATCTCTAAAGGCTCCGCCAATCTACTTTATTTAACATCATTCATATTTATTCCTATAATATCATTGCTAAAAATGTTATTTCATATTTTGTTCAGAAAAGGGCTATACAAATACTATATATAGTACTACACGTACAGCGATGGAAAAAATAATAGAAACTACAAAATTTTCGTTTATTCGAATTTTCTTCCATCAACATTTTTTCTTTCAGAATGTAAATATGTTTACTAAACATTCATCATATCATATTCATATTTAAATGTAGAAAAAGATAAAAATTTAGTTCGCGAAAAATTGTATTTTTTTCTTTTTGGGTTGAAAATAAATATAAACGACATAGGTTAAACTGAAAAACATTAATTTTTTAATTCCAAGAAAGCAACCATTTTTCCCAACCCAAAAAAACATGGTCACCTAACAAATCAGAGCACACAGGAAATATTTCTACCGAAATTCGTATTAAAACGAAATCACACGAATCACCTTTAACCAATTATAGTGCATAGAAGAAGAAACCCATTCAGAAATTGAGGACTACAATTTTTATACTCTGTACTTGAAATGTACAAGAGTATATAGGTGTGCGCGAGCTGAAAAATGTAACAGACAGACGGATGCTGGGCAGACCTACATACATATGTGCAAGAATGCTATATTATTAAACTTCTTAATTTAACAATAGTTTAAGTCAATAGTTGCAATTGCTCGCTAATGATAAGTAAGTTCATATTTCAATTGAATCATTAATTAAACAAATATTCATATATCCAGATATATCCCACATATAGTACACACAAGCACAGATTAACTTGCTTTTCGAAAATGCTACGGATGCATAACCCCAAGTTGCAATTATTCCGGTACTCTACTTTTGATCTATTTATCACCTTTTGTTGGGCGACCTACATAGTATGTAAAGTTCTAAGTAGTATCTAACAAAACACCTATTAAAGCGCGCAACCGGGCCGCGCTTATCTTGTATATTCTTGTATTGGTGGCGCATAGAAGGAAATTATGCACGCGTGAGTGTGTATTTAGAGATGGGCACGGGCCGGCTATTTTCGGCCCGACACGACACGGCCACGAAATTAACTTTTAGAAACACGCACGCGCACGCACGACGAAAATTTTTCTTAACACGGCCCAACACGGCCCAACACGAACTTTTTATATATTAAATATAAAAATTAAAAAAAAATATATATATATATATATATATGTAAACATTACAAATTTTTATTCAGAAAGATTATCTTATCAATATTTGAGCTAAGAAGCCGAGTACGTCGCTCATTTAAAATATGTCCAGAAGTGGAAAAAACTCGTTCGCTTGTTGCAGAGCTGACAGGGATATTGAGTATATGCCTTGATAATTGCCGTAGCATTTTACATTTTGTTGTTTTTTTCCAGAATGTTAGCACACAAATTCCTGGATCAATTACACTACTTATATAGTCACCTATTTCAATATCCATTCTTGACCTGTCCAATTTAATTTTTTTTTTGAATTATTAGTGTCCAAAAATTCAGAAAAGTCGTGTTGGCTATTGGGTGCTTCGTTTTCTGATTTTAGTGTTCTTTCGTGTTTCCTCGTGCGTGTTTTGTCGTGCCTTTTTGGCTCAACACGAACACGCACGGCCACGCACGAAATCGGAATTTACAACACGAACACGCGGGCCCACGCGTGGCACGAAGTGCCACCACAAAAAACACGGCCCGTGCCCAACTCTAGTGTGTATGGAGTTTACCTGTGTGTACATATGCTTATTCGCATACACACCTATGTATGTATGTAAATGTGTTGCTTGTGTTGGGGGCCCCCATTCTTTGTTCGCACAATCGGGCCGATAAATGTCAGGGACAACAGCTGCGCTTTTAAATGCAACAGGAATAAGGCAAATAGCCACGACGATAATTTCCGAGCTTATCAGTGCATACAAAAAGTCAACGTTTCGTAATCAGCGAATGCGCCAATATATGTACATTCATATGTACATGTGTATGTACAAACACACATACATATATATACATACATATGTATAAAACAGCAAGTTCGCACTCTAAATACCGTACATATGTATGTACTCGTAAATGTATGTATATATAGAATAAACATCATAGTCAACTCGTCGCCGGTACAATCTACGTATGTGTTTGGAACGTCGCAAAAGCGTTTATAACGACGATGACGACGATAGAAAAAGTGGTACGTTACCGGCACAACGTCGTGAGTAATGTACAGTTAGAAAATGAACTATAATCCCATATGTATGTATGTACATAAAAACTAACTTTTTAATTTCACTTATGTATGTATGTACATACATACATACATAGTACATGCGTGTACGTATGCCAAAATGTGTCCAAAGTCCGCTTTTAGAAACAAATACATACATACATACATATGTATGTAGGTCTTTAGATAATACGACGAACATGCCAACAAAAATCCTACACCTGTTTACACATACATATGTATGTATAAAGGCCTGTTCCGGATTCCATAGAATCTTATGTTTTACGGAACGGCAATTCATATTAATAAAAAATTTCAAAAGCTTTAATAATTACTCTTCAAATGTGCTTTGTTTACCTTTGTTGTTGCTGCTGCTGTCTCATTATGCGTTTTTACCGCTTTCTACACTCGACAGAAACAAAAAAAAAAAATGAAATCAACGCGTTTTGTTTACGAAATGTGTGTGAAGAAAAGAGAATCAACATCACGCAGACCACATCATACATACACACAAATATACTACATACGATTTTATATGGGAGCCACAACACAAGCCCCGTTGCATACATATATACATATGCGCTTATAAATATGTATGTATGTATGTGCATACGTACATAATTATGTATCAGCGGCCATATTTACTAGCGCATTAAAACGGGGAGTGCCTCTGTAAGCGGCTTACGGAAGAACTACGGAAAAAAGCTACAGAAAAGCACTTGCTGCTGATGTTGTTGTGGCTAACTGTGAAGCAAGAGGTACAGTCAAGATATGGCCAAAACACGACAAGCATGGCGAAAAACAACAACAATTTGGACAAGCGCAAAGCGATAACAAACAAAGAAAAAAATAAAAAACTTTGTCTAATTGGTATGTTGTCCGTACAACAGAAGCTGCGCAGCAGCAGCACCAGCAACAAATAGTCGCTTAATTGACGCTGCTGTACTTACGTCGCGCTCCACAAGATGTTGTTGTTGCTGAGGCGGTGACCTTCAGACGATGAGCTGTTTTTAAAAAAACAACATGCTGATGGTGCGTGTGCGTAAAGTACGCTACGCACTCACTCTCACATCCACAACCACATTATCAGTGCAAAACACTATAAATAAACAAACAAACAAAAAAAAATTTAAAACTCGCGCCAAAACTAAAAAACAACAAACACACAGAACAGCACAGTCTCTTAAGTGCTTTTGTTGCTGCTGCTGCCTGGCAGGCCTCTGTGAATGAGAGCCACAAAGAGCTTTTTCAATCTGAGAACCGTAAGGCTCTGCTCTATCGACGTTGATAGCGCGTGAGCACATTTGTGTGTGTAATCAGGTTTGTTGCAGTTGCCATTGTTTAAATTGAGTTGTGGGTGAGGCGTCGAAGTAAAAAATTTTTGGTCGCAGTTAATAAAAAAAATGTTGCGATACTCAGTGAGCTACAATTTTATTTTATTGCAACTGTTGCTGCTGTGTTATGCGTGTCCCAACGGAAATTAATTACGAACACCTGCACGATGACAGGCCAATTGAAATTGAGCAAGCACGCTCGTATCAAGAACGCTGACTGCGGAGCAGCATCTGAGCTTTTAGCGTTTTTTTTTTTCAATTGAGAGTGTACATATGTATGTATTTTTCGCGCCAAAAAAAACTGACGAAATATTTATAATTTATTTTGCATAAAAATAAAATTGCGTTGTTTCGTCAGCACTGGCGGCGCGGGCAGCAGTCGTGAAAAAACATTTTCAATTGACAAAGAACAACAAATAAAACAGTGATGCGCCGCAGTCGCTGCCAACGGCGGCGTTAACGTATTTGTATTTGAATGTGTTTTATTGTGTATTTGACACGCTGCCAAAGACACAAAGGCATCAACACTGTTGTACATGCATATGTACATACATATGAATGTTAAGAAAGTTAAACAAATAGTAATGGGCAATTCAAAGGCAAACCTTGACCGTGCATACTTACATACATATGTACATATGCACGTATTTATATACTTTAACAGACATCATATTCAGATATTCATAGCACACTCACACACACACACACATGTATTTACGCTACTTAATTAATTTTTATTTATTTCATTTACCTATTGCCTAAGGAATTATACATACATACCAGCTGGTATTTCTCCACAAAAAATGGTTCAAATAAGCTGGGAGCCACTGTACATACATATGTATCTGATAAAGACATTATCAACAACTACTATTCAAGAAAGGCGGACTAAATGGACGAATCAAAACAAATGTCTATCAAAACAAAACTGAAAAAAGATTCGCCAGTTGGGGTATGTGCGTATTTAAATATATACGTACATATGTATGTTTGTTTGAATATACATACACACATACATATGTATGTATGAATGTATGTATGTATCTTTGAAAGTTTTATGCTCAGCCCTTTCGTGTTATGTAAGCGCTTCGGATTTGTATGAGTGTATCGAAAATGAATAAACGCACAGAGATGAAGCGAGGGAGAGAGATATAAAGAGGGCAAGTGCACATTGCAGTTATTTTTAGATAAACGTAGATGAGGTTGGGCTGCAATGAATGCTCAATAAGAAATTTGTACAGTTTAAATGGATGAAGAACAACTGATACATATAACGTTATTCAAATAAATATGAAAATAATCAGAATACTGCACACACATATCAACCTACATATTTATATACATGCATACATATGTATAAGTATGTACATATTGTATGTAATTTAATTGTTTATATTTATAACTTTAAAATATTTTTCTAAAGCACATACTTGAATTGGCAAACGAAAATGAAGATTATCCTAAAGTAAGGTACATACTCGTATATGTGCTCATATGTACAAAACAGTATCAATCACATTTAAATTAAAAATAAATATGTTAAGAATTAAGACAAAAAAATGCAATATATTTGTTCATTAAAAAATGTCAAAATTTTAGAAACATTATAGAAATAAAATTGTACCAGGAGTTCGCAGAACGATTCATTTTACAGTTTTTTCACTGTGCGTGCATTCGGAATGTAAATCGAAAAATCGTAAGCAGGGTTGGTTTGTCGTTTTGTGAATGAAGAGGGTTGCTCCAATTCTACAATGTTTAAGGGTGGGAAACGAAGGAGCGCATCAAAAAATGAGCTCAATAAGAATTGCAAAAGGAAAATGCGAGTAACCAAAAAAATTAAAAATTAAAAAAAATCAGGTGCTAGTCTGCCATGGCATCTTATTGGAAGAACACACACACACATACACACATATGTACATTTATTTATGTCAGTATGTAAATAAAAGTATGTGGGTCATTAATATTTGAACACTTACCTCTACCGGCTGGTGTTGAGTGATTGTATGGCCTGCTGCGAATTGTTGTGGCAGAATTCCATCTCCGACGATTGTTCTCTACTCTATCAAAATCTTCTAAGTCTATTCCATATTTAAACTTGATTCTTCCACATGTTCTTTTTTGCTCCTCTTGCAATAAATCGTGCGTTTCGCCTCTCGAGGGACTTCCAAACAAATTTTTTTTGATGGTATTGCGAAGTGTTTTTGAGGGTGATAGTTGCTTACATTCGTTACAACTGGTAAAAACTGGGGGCACAGGCATTTTAAAATATTTTGCAAAATTTACTGTTTTTGTTTAAAGCTGTAATATTTTAATTTTTGTGTTTTGGTTTTTTTGTCTCTGATTAACAAAGCACACGCAGCACAATTTTCTGTTTGTTGCCTTGCCTTTTTCTATTGAGTACAGCTGATTTGTGCTTTCACTTGAAAATTTCTTTCGTTTTTTTGCTTACGCAAACACACACTCACACAAACAGGCACAGATACACTCACATACACGTCAATGTTAAAAAATCAAATTTTTAATATAATTAAGCATTGCAAAGCGTAAAGCAATTGCAAGCTGCAGCCCACAAATTTTCGAGGTGCACGAATATTTTTTCTATTGTTTCACTGCGCCTTTTTTTATTATTGGCACATTTTGTTGTGGCAATTTGTTTGTTTAATTTGTTTTACGTGTGTATGTATATGCGCACCGTCCAAACTCACACACGTCCGATCCGTTCGAAAATCCAAACGAGAGTGAATCGAAAATCAAGAACGCATACAGTGGTGAAATACCAAGAGAGTACAGGGTAGCACCAGATGAAGAGAGGCAGTGCTGCCAACTTTTTAGACTGAAAACAGCTGTTTTCGACGGGAAGCAAAGTTAAAAAAGTAAAAAAGGCTACAGATCTTTTTACAAAAAATGCGTAGAAAAATGAATTTTTCAAGGTGTTTTATGTCGTCGTATTCGCTTTTAAAAAAGGTAGTGCACATGTTGTCCAAGTATCTCGGCAATTTGTATTGTACTCTTTCGGCATTATTGCATTCGCAACTTTACAAATTACACGCACTTTTAAGAAAAAGGTGTTATAAATTAGAAGCGTTATTGGAAAATATTGATTTAAAAAATAATGACACGATTCCACTTTATTGTACATATACAATTTGATTTCACTAGATTTTGACGGGAAAAAAGACAAATTGACAGCACTGCTGAGAGGAGATTTGATGCCGTGGTGAATTCGTTCTCACGACGTTAATATTGGAAAATTAGTTTATTTAATTTAATACGACAAGCAATACAATTTAAGTACATATTAGATATTCATTTAAAACGTCTAGACAAATGGAAATTTTTACAATATACAAAACAAAATGCTATTTAGCCACATAACAAAAATGCGTTTTGTATTCAAAGTATTTTTTATGAAAAGTATTAGAAGTTGAATTTAAAAACGAAAATGTGATGTCGATTTTATTAATTTATGACAACAAGTATGGTGCAACTCACTAGCAGCTCTGTATTTATGCACATGCATATACATATGTACATATATATGTGTGTCACTGATACAAACATACATATTCCCCACTTACCGTTACTTAGCTGCTGTTTGAAATCTGACCTAAATCGTATTTTTATGTTGAGCTTAAATTTGAAAAAAAGTGCAAATAAAGTTCAAGTCAAACGAGTGGCCAACAAATGGAAACGAGTGCAAACAATGTTGTGGAATAAATGTGAATATGTATTTTGAGAGTGTGTGTGTACATACATATGTCTATGATAGCGTCATGCTTTGGAGCCGAATTCAAGGTCAGGTCTATCATATTCATGCAGCATTAAGCCGGGTAATTGTCAATACACATACCATACATACATACATATGTATATATGCATGTACATACATATACATATACAAAAAATCAACTTTCGCGCTCAACAGACTGATTGATGGGTCTGGAGCATTCAAGCGTGTCTTACCAACGAAAGTGAAAACAGTTTACGCCAAATACATAGACACACGCACATACTATATAAACTATATTATATATGTATGTATGTACATAAACAACTTTGCAGAACTGCTGACTCATTTAACGAAATTCACAGACGTCTTCTAGCAGCTGGCTTAGACCACCAATTAGTCATTTATACTGAGCTTAAACTTTGAGTCACATTTTATAAACAAACAAAGCATACAAAACATAAACAAATGCGTACTGCTGTTGCCAAAAGGCGCTACATTTGTAGCCAATGGGCGGGAATTTGATTTATTTTGGCGCGCTTTGCTGTTGCTACCTGTGCCACCACCACCACCACCACTGGCATCAGGTCGTAGTACAGTGAAGCCCCTAGCTAAAGACATTCATGTAGCTACGTCAATTAACAACAGGATAGTTAGAAATAACAGAGCACTGCTGAAAAGTATTAAAAGAATTCTCTTGGTGTTTTCTCCATATATTATAAGCTAGTTTTATTTGATCGCCAGATATGTTTACAGTTTATAGTTTCTTCTCTATGAACACTTCTAAAAAATATAAAAACATGGTCGTGTCATTCGCACAATTTTACGTTGAACTAATAATCTCTAGACAATTTTTTTTATATCATGGCAAATATGGACCGCTTTTTCTACCTTTGAGGCTCGAAACCAAACCAAAACCGTTTCTTAGTTTTCACTTACATTGTGAAAGGAAACTTGCATTAAATTTTCAGCGCTTCCTTTGATTGGCAATTAGTCAGTCAGAACACACTGTTGTATATAAAGGGGGTGTCAGCTAATTTACAATTTATATTTTAAGTTTTAGGAAACTCAAAAAAAAAATTATGTTACAGAACGCAAGTTTCCCTTTAAAATTATTATTTAATATTTACATAATTTTAGGTTTAAAAGTACTTTTATATCTTATAAAAGTGTGTTAATACAGGTTATAACCAGTTTGAGGATACTTCTTAATTTCTTTTTGATCAAATAAAATTTTAATGTTATTTGTAAATTAAGGAAATTCAAAGTTTTTAATTTTTAAGTGCGTTTTACGGAAGCAATACTGTGTGTATGCAAAAAAAAGGAAATCCCAATCAACCCTTAGACTGAGCGCAAAGAATCTTATGAAAATTTTGCTGAAATGCATTTCATTGCTGCGTCATTTTCTCGATTTCCATTTTCACGAGCACCAACAACTAACACTTTACTGCGTTTCAATTTTTGCCATTGCCTATCTATATATGTATGTATGTATGTATGTATGTATATCTGTCTATTGCACGGCGTACGTGCTTGGGCACTTTTTGTAAGGTTTTGAAATGACGTTTTCTTTCAGACCATATGTAGGTGCCTGAATGTTAATTGTTCTATAGTTTCTGCAAAAGCAGCTTGCCACGACAACAACAACAATATCGGCTTCAGAACTACTAAATCGAAACAAAAATCACATGATGTTACATTTGTCACATTTGCCAGCAACAGCAAATTTCTTTAGCCGCCGCAATGTTGACGTCATCTGCAATATGCAGTCCACGCCATACGCGTCTACTTCAGCATGTATCTTTATCTGTATCTGTATCTGTATCTGCATGTGTATCTAAATGTTTGTCGTTTCTAGTCAATGCTGGACTAACAAGATTGCTAAATTGTACGAGCCCAAGAATAAAATAATATTATTTTTATGAGACACGGAAAGTTTCATCAGCTATCAGTTTTATTGTATTTTTAGTTTGCTCTACTTTCCTATTATTTCATTAAATGTATGTCGTTAAAAAAATTTATTAATATTACGATTACTAATCTTTTCTGATTGGCGGGCTTATTGGCAACATTGTATGTAGTATATAAATAATATGTTTTGTCAAATGAAGATAATTATAATAAAATTATTTTTTTCTATGACTTTAAATTTCAAATGCAATGAAAAGTTTGGTCCATAGTCAAATTCTCAAGGATACTCATACAATATCTTTTGTCATAAACATTAAATCGTATATTAAAAAGTTTTTTGTAACGCCTGGGTTGACTGAGACGCAAAAATGTGATGGGAACCGAAACGAAGATTTCATTGATTTCAGCATCACACATTGATTTGTACACAGTAGTAAGGGCGTAGGCAGGGGGGGGGAAGGGGGGGGGGGGAGAGGAGAGGATATCCTTGATTCTTCAACAAATTAAACACCCATTAGGATTTTAATTCAATTAACAGAATATACGAGTACATACTTTTGAGATCAAATCAAAAGAAAAATGTCTTCTAACTATATGTATATATAAAAATGGATGTACTTGTATGTATGTATTGTTCCCTATAGACTCCGAAGCCGCTCAACCGATTTTGATCAAATTTTGTGGCAATATGTATTCGTGACGAGTGCTCAAAGCGATCAACCATCTATTTCTGCTCATTTTCATTTGTTTGAAGCCTCTTTTTACTCTATCTGTCAGTGTTTCAATCGTAAATAAAGTTGTAAAATTGAATACAAACAAATGCCAGCAAAAAGCATCTATTGGTTAAAATAACCACAAAATCAAAAGAGATGAGCGAAACAGAGCAGCTGGATATCCTTTGTACAAACGAAGCAAGGTGGGCGACGGTGGATACTGAACTATAATGAAGGACCTAATCGAAGCCATAAATAGCGAAGGAGGTTTTGGGACAGATGTGACGTCGGAAAGGTTAAAAGTCACTACAATTCAGTGGCGGAGCAACGCATGCCGGATGCGCTAGTTTGAAATGCAGTTACAATCTTGTATTGATTTAGAAAAATGTTAACTCTTTTTTAAAGTGCTTCGGGCAGTTTGGAGGACAGTTGTGGGCAGTTTGGGGGCATCTTGGATAAAGTATAATTACCAGCTTGAAATGAAATTCCAATTTTTTTTTATTGATTTTGAAAATGGACTACATTTTTAAAGAGCGCATGGAATCTAGTCTTTAATATTAGCGCTGCTGCTGTTTCCATGGGCTCAATATTTTAGGGCAGTGCCGGCATGGTTCTATTTTTGGCGCAGTGCCTGGCATTTGGGGTATCAATGGGGGAAAAGTGCAGTACGCCAGAAGCGGAGCCCGGGCCATGCTGCATAATAAATTTTCTCTCTGCCATTCGCGTGTGCGTTTCTTTCTTATTTTTTTAAACTTTTTTTTTTAGTTTTTTTTTTTTTTTTTTGTGAGGCATCTGTAAATTTTGCGCCAATTTTTGCGGCGGCTGCTGCCCTCATCGCACACACCAACACACACACACACACACACACACAAATACGCACAGGCAGGCACAAAATACCTGCTGGCTGCCAATTTTGAGCCATTTTTGCGCCAAAACCAAAACCTGAATCAGACCCAGCAGGCAACGACGACGACAACAACAACAGTAATAACGACACCGGCTGCTTCGCAATACTTCTTCCCGCTTCCGCACTTGAAATTGTGAGCATTGTGAGCCATGAGCTCTGGTTCTGGCAGTGGCATTGGCACTGGCACTGGCTGTGGCTCCGACTCCGGCTCAACCCCACCCCGTCCCCAGCCGACTCTGTCACCATCATCTTTTCAGTCAAGTGTTTTGGTTTTATTGCTACTGCTGGTGTTGTTGTTGCTGTTTTTGAGGCTGCGCAAAGCGAGGCTCAAAAAGCATACGAAATTCTTGTCCTTTTTGTTTTGTGAGATCGAGTCGTCCTCAAAAGTAACATCTGCTGCTCAAAAAGCATAGACAGACATTGTTGTTGTTATTTTTTTTTATTCCATTCAGTTCATTGCAAA